ATTTTATGAAGAATTGAAGGAGCTATCCAATGATATGGTTGAAAAGCTTCTGAGAGAAACTTTAAGATCACTAGGTTTTAAGATCACTAGGATTTTAGGCCTTTGCCCTAAAATTTTTTCGCGAATTTGAACGATCTGAGAATACAGTTTTACTCAGAATTCGACGCTGATTCCGAATATGTATGACTCATTGCGTAGTTTTTTGGGCACGAAATCTTACATTCTGCCACTTGTCCTTTGTAAAATTGGATCAAAAATAAATAGCTATAGTGATTTTCTAAAGAGCTTTTTTCTCTCTCTTATGTCGGTAGCCAAAGGCTTAAATAATTGATCTCATGTTTCTTCGAATAGTCAGACTCCATAAGTCGGATGACGATTAGACCCATCTCAAAATAAGTTGGATGACGATGAGACTGATCAAAAGGTCTTACATTGAGACCTATGTACGGGTCTAACCGACTTATTTTACGATCTTAGTTTTCATTTTCAGGACTTCGAATATTAAGCTAGACTCATCAGAGTGGGTCAGTAGTTTTAATCTAGTTGTTGTTAATATTTTATAGTGTATTTCATTAAAACCTCTATTCTCTATATACAAGTAGTCAATGCGAAACAAATAAAATGAGTGATTTTTCGTACTTCAGACGGCAAAAATAAGACCTTTTTACTTCGGTCTTAGAAATAAGACGGATAAGTTATCTGCCTTGAAATAAGACGAAAGAAAAAACGTTAGACCGATACAAGAGTAAGATGAATAAAATAAGATGGATTTTTTAGTGCAGTAACAGTCAACATTTTAAACCTATACCATATATAGACGATAGTTCTATTTTTGCATAAAACATTAGCCTCTTCTATCGCACGAACCGTGCACTAGAAAAGACGTACTCCAGCACACGAGTCGGAATACATTTGTACAAAATTTTTTGAAGTGGTTATCTTAATTATTAGTTTATCATAATCTGAGAGATTCAGAAGTCATGATTACTTTTGAATCACTACTGTAAGCACAGTAACGAAAGTCCTGTCAAGCACAAAATTATGATTTTAAGATGCGATCATATTTATAGTACAGAAGATCATCAATAAGCAATGTTGAACTGTCTGTCACGATTATAGCTCGTTCACACGTTCAATGACGTAAAGTACTCACAGTCAGACAAATGATTGTGACCGCAGTTGAATCCATGTTTTTAAAGAATATTTGTTTTGTTTTCGTTAGATGTTTCGTTATATTCTGTCAGAATGTTTATCAATCCCATTCTGGGAGATTCATTCTGTCTCTGAACTTTGTGATATTTTGTTGTTTCTTTAAAAAAAGTAACCAACATAAATGTTTTTCACTTGCTAAAAACTGTCTATTTTGACCATGTTTACAATACAAAAAAGATTCTCATTGTGTTTATATTTATGCACCGATCTCTGCTTTTGTTTTTCTTTGTTTTGTCACTTTGTCAACTCTTATTTGGCATATAAAAACGCATATATCCTTTTCGTGTTAGTGAATTACATTTCATCACTGTTGCCGTTGTTATTAATCTGTTTGGATTAATTGCTTCTTTGAGAAAAGTTTATCTGTTATTTCAACTGTTTTGAGCAGACAACTTTTTTTCTCACTTTTTGTTCATAATACCCTTGAAAATGCTTCAGCTCTCTGTGAGACAATGTAAAATAGAATCTAACCGTTTTATTAAATTGCATGAGAAAAAAAAAAAATAATATAACCAACTATTTATCTGACTCATATCATCTGTCCATCACTAATCGTGCATCATAAATTCAACGAATTGTTGATAATTCATTCCTTTTTCTGTTAACCACTGTCGAACTTGTTGATATTCTTCATCATTAAAATTAAAAAATTCTATTAATTTATCCAAATCTTCTTGTGTTATTAAACCATCATGATCACGATCAAAATATTTAAATGTCAATTTTAATTCTAAATCTAAATCTGATGAACTAACATGTCTCAGCATTAAGTCACAATATTCAGAAATATTTAATTCAGATGAATGTTCATCATCCGTTTGTTCTTCGATAGCTGTACGTAATAAATCAAGTGACTCTTGAGCATCCAAATCTACACCTGTAAAAGTAAACGCTAGAGTTTAAGGGCTTCCCACATTGAGTAATTTTTGCAGGTCATGTGAATCTTTGATTTTTTCTTGTTAAAAACGATTATTTTTAGTTCAGTTTGACTATCTATGCCTCACATGTCTATCATCGAAATTTTTATTGCTAACTTATACATCGTTCAGTGTAATTTGATGTAATGCATTGATTCTGAACATCACCGTGTTTCTTGAATAGAATGTTCCTGAATGGAGAATAATAAATTTTACGTAGAAAATCAGGTTATACAGAAAAAACAAAAGAAAATTAGGGATGAATCACTGCTTTAAACATTTTCTAAATAATCTAATTCTAGTTAAATGCTAGCTTTCCACTTCATTCAAAAGTCATTTCCAGAAATATATGAAGGAAGTAAATGTCAATAATTCAATGACAATTCTAATAACACAGAATGAAAAAAGAATTTATTGGTTATTTTGTCGACTAGTTAATTATTACCCTAAGTCCACTACTTTTGTACATTTTTATTTAAAATTTTGTTTGCTTTACCTGATCATACCATATTCAGTTGAACATATGATATGCTCCAAAGAGTCCAATACTCGGATGCATGTTTTACATCGTTAGATGAATTTCTATGCCTTTCGTTTATAGCTGATACACTCTAGATTAAATATTAACCATAAGGTACAACTGATAAAATTTTGACTAAAAATATACGAAAGTAGTGGACTTAGAATAGTAATTAACCGGTTGACAAAATAACCAATAAATTCTTTTTTCATTCTGTATGCACTTACCAATTGTCAGTGAATAATATTGACATTTATTTCCTTTTATATATATTGACATTCATATGCTTCTAAAAGTGACTTTTGAATGAAGTAGAGAGCTAGCAATTAAGTAGAATTAGATTATTTAAAAAATGTTTAAAGCAGTGATTTATCTCTAGTTTTCTTGTATTTTTCTGTAAGGTTTTTGCAAAACCTGTAGGAAAACCCGATCAGAAATCTATTTTGGTCAGATTAAGCCGGATCTTGGAGAAAATTTTAGTTTTAGTTCAGAATATTGTAATGGAATATTTTTCCGCTTGTATTGTGACAGAATAAAGCTTATATCAACTTTCAGTGGATATTTAGCGTGCCACCGATAGTTTAAAGTAAGAATTTCTATTAATATATCATGTGGATTAGCAATTAGTGCCCATAACCATGATAAGAATGGTGCCGATGACGGCTTCTCCATCTTCTTTGATGCTGCAAAGTTCTAATACAGTCATTTCGAACTTTGCAGCATCAATCAAATGGAAAAAAAAATGCTGTTCTTCTAAAAACTCGCTTAACTTTCCATCAAACGATCACTTAGTGATGCAACTATGTAAGGATCATAATTTTTCACAGTGTTTGGAGCACATTATTTTAGAAACAGAACTATAACACTTACCAATTGAGTTAGCCACATGAACGAAATCATCCCTTCCTACTGATCGACTTTTATTTCTGTCAAGAATAAAAAATGCTTCTTCTACAGCACGTACAAATTCTATTTTTTCTTTAGTTGTATGACTGTAGTCTGTCATTATGATCGTTTTACCTCATTTAAATCAAATCAAACTACTATATATCTCGGGTAAAAGTTCTAGATGGAAGAAAAGTGCAAAGAGATCTCTTCAGGTATTAACCTTTCACGCTGTTAAAGATATCGAAACGCGTAGTTTATGTTTATAGAGAGTAAAAGAGAAAACAACGATTTTGTTTGCCTTACTTGTATCCTTTCCTTACACCACTATCAACTGATAATACCGAAAATAGGACAAAAGAGAACAGAAGTACTTGGCAAAATACAATAGTTTTTTATGTTTTACAGATAATAATGTCCTTGATCTTGCAACATATAGAAAGTAGAAAAGGTATGCGTAAAACACACCTATAGAACATTAGACGTCGCATCACTGCGTACTAAAATAAATGATAGGTGCTGGAGACATTTTCTCAGTACTATTATAGAGTTTTGAAATAGGTAAAATGTTTAAGAAGAACAAACTGCGTGTTCATATACAGTCAACAGACTATATATTTTCTTAAGGCCTCACCTTCCCTCCCCATCCAGAAAGTCGATTTTCGTCAAAAAAATGGATTTTGAGATAAACACATAGGCATGATGCTTGAGTTGTCTACTTTACAAATCCGTAAAGATATTATTGAATCTCTAAGTTTTTTATGGGATTTTCGTCAAAAACCTTAAGTTAGTTGGAATTATTATTACTTATATTTATATAATATTATAATTATTATATACAATAGCGACCAATAGGTGACGCCATCTATCGCGGGATACGTCGCGACAATCATAGTGCAATGCGCTGTGACGTGTATTTACCACTGACATGCAATTCTTGCATTTTTATGTTGGTTGCAGGTAATATTCACAAAAAAAACTTGTTTATCGTTTTTCTCAAAACCGAACTTTTTGTAAAATATCAATCTCTGAACAAATTTTTCTTTACTATAGTTTATTCTATTAAACTGCGGTTTTTTTATTTGATAGATAGATATATCCTTCTTCAGATGACGAGAAGGAATTTTTTATTTGACCCTCAATCTTTGAGCAATCAGGTATTTTATGAAAAATCCTACATACGGTTTTCAGAACTTCAAAGTTTTGTAGATCTCACCAAAGAAAAAATCAAAATTAAAAAACCCTTTCCCTCATCTGAAGCACCAAGGAGTTCTCTTTCAAATGAGACCAACCCGAGCGCTCCATCTCGAAGTGTATTGAAAAAATCCTTGTACGCATGGGACCCCCATTTTGCCCCTTGGTACCTGTATATCTCTCGAACCGAAAGAACTAGAGCCATGAAAATTTTTTTACACTTGTACCTTTATGGGTCAAGCATCTGTAGAAAGTTTCATGAAGATTCCATGCGTCATGTTGAAAATCGATTTTGGAGGGGGGTGAGGCCTTAAGAACAAAAAAAAAAGTTAGTTTTGAGTGGCTGAAATGTGCTTTTTCGTATTCAGCACACTCAATAACCCAGAAAATTTTCTATTCTTGGCGGGCGGGGTACTTCCAAAAGTTTAGGAATAATTTTGAAACAAAACTCCTTCATGATATATGTTAAATAAAAATTCTAATAGTCTCTGATGAAATTCGTCAGTAAGTGCATCAGCGGCATCAACAAGTTGACACCAAAGCGTTCGACATTCTCGGTATTGTTATTAATACAGCCAACAAGTTGACTCATATACAAGAATCTAGTAGGAACTGACCACGAAACTGTTTAGTATCTAGCGCGTATAGGACTTTTACAGGATTCTCAAACAATTCTTATTAAACTCTTATATAAAAAATTTGCCAATACAGGTTAAGAATTTCTTCATACTCTTATAAGAATTAAGCAAGAAATTGGTAAGAATTGAACAACATTCGATCTTTCTTCTCATGTTTCTCCTCATTCGATTCTCATATGGAAGCAGTTTTTCCTTCGAGATTCAACTTCAACGCCTTTTTTTCGAAAATTCTTGTGTTGATGTGACTCACGCGTAGTCACTGAAAATTCTTTATTATTTAATATTATTATTTCAGAGAATATAAATATATAAAACCCAACAAAAAACACAATGCGGCATGAAAAGAGAAAAAAGAATACAATTACAATAAGACAGTTACTGTTTCTATTTTTATCGAAATATTTTTGAGCTGGTTTGCCATAAATGATTTTTGTCATAAATCGGCAAAAGCCGATGACCATATTTGAAATTTTTCGAATTTGACCACTTCTGAAAAGAGTCAATAAAAAGTTCAGTTAGAAATAGGATGTCTGTGGACAGGCGAGGGTAATAAGAAGCGTCGTTTTACAAGTGCGTCCTGTTGTCTCACCACAGCCTCTGTAATACAGGTTTTCTAAGCTAATCTTCACTTAGTCGAGAAAGAAGATGATAAAGGGACTAACTATTTAAGAATTTTAGAAGAACAGTACACGCTAGTGCTCTGACATTGACCAAGGTATCCCATATAGAAAAAAGCCTAAATATCGTTTTTAAAAATAAAATTATGCTTCATCTGAAAAAATCACACACAGTTTGACTCGAAGATGTTCTATCCGGTTTTATCTCAATTCTGTTTCTTATTTTCCTTTTATTTGCATTCTTTTAGCAATAGTTAAAAACAACTCGTTCACTTACTCACATGAAAGTACACAAACATTTTCTCATGTTTATTTTTAGTTCTTTATTTATTTATTTTTGTATCTTCTCCATCGAGCTACTCTTGATTTCTCTGCATTTAATCTCTACATATAATAGGTAGCAGGTAATTTGGCGCTATACACCATAATGGTATATGGGTCTGGTGATTTCCCTGTCTTGAGTAGATGCAAAAAGTGCAACTTGAATACGCAATATAGATTTCTAAGTTATAACTATACGTTTCAGTTGTCTATATTTATCTTTACCAAGACACAGTTATTTTTTCAAATAAATCGCTCACATAACAACAACAAACAATAGATAAAAGATTTCCAGATCACATCAGCACAAGAATTTTCCAACAAAAAAGGCGTTGAAGTTGAATCTCGAAGGAAAAACTGCTTCCATATGAGAATCGAATGAGGAGAAACATGAGAAGAGAGATCGAATGTTGTTCAATTCTTACCAATTTCTTGCTTAGTTCTTATAAGATTCTTATCTGATTTTGCAAAATTTTTTGTCTAGGATGTGAGGCCTTTTTCTTCTAAATCCTTGATACAGTGCCGTATAAGTAAAATGCGAAGTATAATACTGCATGAATTAATTTATTACATTCTTTTCACTGTGAATAACTATAGGATCTAAATTAGGAGCGTGAATAAGTTTGTTCATGTGAGACACTGCTTGAATGAAAGACAGTAATCATATCGAAAAGAACTTCTACTTGTAATATGTATTATTGTTAAAAATGAGACTTTCGCATGAGGTTTTTTCTATCTTTCAACATTTCCAAATAAACACCATTTGTCCATCCAAATCCATCTTGTGTCTTATATTCTCCTCCACCCGCTTCTGCATTCGTATTTACAACATCATATTTTTCCACCATTTTTCTCGTTTCATTAAAAACTTTCTCGTTTAACATCATCCATTGATCAATTATTTTTTTCACTAATGGTGATCGGGGACTATAATTGAGTATACCTTTATAGGTGATGTATTGTAGAGGAGCCCAGCCGTTTGGAAAATCCCATTGTTGATGACTTTTTTCATTTATGGTTGTGACAAGACCACCATCTTTGAGAAAGAGACGTTCAATTTTATCCATCACGGCACTGGCTTGTTCCTCAGTTGCTAACTCTGTCCACAATGGGTAAACACCAGCTAATGTCATAGATTTTGTTGGCTGGTTTAATCGAAAATCATAGTCCATAAAATAATCGTGTTCTTTTGACCAAAAGTATGTCTGAATAGCTGTTTTACGTTTTTGTGCTAATTGACGATAATGTTGTGACATTGATCGATCGAATTTTTTTTCATAAGCAGATGCTAATACTCGTTCCAAATTAAACATTAAACAATTTAAATCAACGGGAATTATGTCTGTCGTATAAATTGTGGATAAATCACCTGCATTTACTAACCAACGAGAACTAAAATCCCAACCAGATTCAGCTGCTGCTCGGATATTTACATAGATATCACTTTCATTTCTTTCTGAAGTGGATGAGTGTGCCGTATGATAATCTTCGTAAAAGGCTTCCGGTCTCGGTTTTGGTATATCATCATAAAAACGATTTAATAGAGTGCCATCTGTCATTCGAACAACTCGACGATGACTTTGCGACGAAGATGTTAGATCGGCGCTACCATCCATCCAAAACTCATATTCTATTTCTAATTCTGGTAAATAATCGACAAGAATATTTTGATCTGTCAGTAGTGAATCTAACAATTCGACCATAAATGAAAAGAATGGCGGTTGAGAACGACCAAGATAATAATTTCTATTCCCATTTGGAATATGTCCATGAGTACGCATTAAATATGCAAAATTGCTAACCATATTTGAAATCAAGTTAACATAATCTGACTCTTTCAAACCCAACATGATGAAATATGAATCCCAATAATAAAATTCTCTAAAACGTCCACCGGGTACAACAAAATCATTTGGTACTGGTAGAAGAGATGGATCATTGGTCATTAAATGGGCATTGCGTGTTAAATATGACCAAAGTGCTTGGCAATGTTCAACGATTGTCCATGATTGACCATCATTATCGAGTACTAAATTGAATGATTCCGGCTCATTAAAATTATTTTTAACAAACGTTTTTAAATTAAATTCCGGTGTATCACGTATTTGTCTGTAAGAGGCGAGGATGTCACTTGGCGAACGTAACGGAATACAATCAGGAAACGTTTTTGAATCAGGAAATATTCGTGCTAACTGAACATCGGCAAATAATTCTTCATAAAGTTCATCAGGAGGACTATTAACAGTCATTGTAATTGTCACGAAACATAGAGTAGCAAAACAAATCGAAAACAAAAGCATTGTGAATAACTCCTATTTTAAGAAAGAAAAAGGTGAAATATAAAGCTAACGGCAATAAAACAATATCTGTCATTTATTAAAGGGATTAAAACATAATCTCTACCTCGAAGTAACACAGATGGTATTTTCATCGGTAAATAATCGTCTAAATAAAAAGTATAATATATTTTATACAAATGACAAAGAGTCTTAGTGTTGTGAGTGATAAAAAGCGGATATTCAACACCAAAGAGTGTGATCTCGATTAAGAACACCCCACTACTCGTTTTTGCAAAAATTTTTTCATTTTGAGCTGAAGGTAGCATAATGTAGAGGAAAGTCTGGGATATAAAATGAAACCATTCTCAGCTCTGCACAACCTTCCTTGAAAAAGTGATGAAGTTTTTAAGCTTTTCCTTCTAAGCCTAAAAAATCTCAATTTTTAGTTTCGTAATGTGATTGGACAAAACTAGTTTTCCAGAAAATCCATAGAAGAACATGTCAGAAAATTCTTGGCAAAAATAAATCGATTTTCTTTTTCAATGTTCTATCTCTGATATAAATTTAATCCTGATTAAACATCAGCTTCCCCGGTTTTCAAGATGATCAAAAACAGAGAGCGGTACCCTTAAAGTAGAGAGTTGTTCATACCGGCATCGTCAATATATCGTCAATGTCCTATGTGACGATGCTTCATCACAATCGCCCCCATATGTACATACTTCTTGTCCTTATGACAAAGTTAATTCAACTCCTTTTTCTCCTGTTCTTATTTTTTATTATTTACAACTAATAATTATTAATAAAATCCTTATATATTTATCCTTATGTACTTTATAAAATACATGAGGATAAATACATAAGGATTTAGAAAAAACAGTCCTCACATCCTAGACAAAAAATTTTGCAAAATCACTGATACTTTTTTGTTCACTACTGATACTTTTCGAAATTTATTGCCACACCAAAAAAACAGACTCTGGCCCGCCACTGGCAATAATAATATGAAACAATAAAGAGTTTCCAGTGACTACACATGAGTCACATCAATACAAGAATTTTCGGAAAAAAGGGCGTTTAAGTTGATTCTCGAAGGACTGAAAGACAATGGTCTTACACCCCTAAGTACAAATTCGTGTTGTCTGTCTGTCTGCCTGTAACGTCATCTACAAAACTGAGATAATTCTATAGGTTTACTTAAAATTCTGCAGTATCCTTCAATTTACAGACTGACTTGCACTGTTTTCTTAGAAATTCTGTGAATTTCTTCTTAGAATTTTGCAGAATTCTATAGAATTCTAGAAAACTCTTGGATTCTGTGATTGTTCCGTGAAAAAAAGAGAATGTTCTATAGATGTCCTTATAACTTTACACATTTCGTCGAATTCTAGAAAACTGGTAAGTTTTGTTGAATTCCACATTTTATAGATTCCTAAGAATTATGCTGACTTCGATCCGTTACTTACAGTTACATAAGTCTATTGACTACTGTACTCTCTCGCTTATGTTCTTTCTGACTTCGTGCTGAACAGTGGTGGCTGGCATAATCCCGATTAGGCCGGAATATTTATTTCCTTATACGAATTAGGTCAAAACAAACTTTTATTTAATTTTGCTAGATATTTGAGATATCTGGGAGTTTTCGTCGATTTCTACTCAGTCGACATGAGCGATGGGTATTGAGAGTGAGTGAAAGAGAATAGAATATCAGTCCACTGACTGCAATCTGCTTACAATCAATAGGCTGTGTGAACCGCCAGACGAACATTACTTGTTTATATATGTTGAAAGGAAGATTTCTGTTTATTTTTAACATATTTTCGTACTCGTGTATTTGATTTCAAACAAAAGAAGAATGCTGTGTTTTATTGTTGAACTCGTGTGTGTTGTGCCTACTTTCTTTATCCACAAGTAGATAGATATTCTCTGAAATCATGATATTAAACAATAAAGAATTTTCAGTGACTACGCGTGAGTCACATCAACACAAGAATTTTCGAAAAAAAGGCGTTGAAGTTGAATCTCGAAGGAAAAACTGCTTCCATATGAGAATCGAATGAGG